ATCCATATATTATGAATTAATTTAACTGATGTTGATGCTGAGGCATCATATTTTTTTAAAGGGTACTCCAGGTTACAAATCAGTATCATCCAACAAAAAGCTGTCATAATTTTAAAAAGTCACTCACTTGGGTTGTTAGAAACACTAAAGAAAGTGAGAATTCAATGTTTGTTGTTGTTTCTGTTGTTTTAATTATCCCTATCACAGCTTTGGTGAAGTTATTCTACTTTTGGTTAGCCTGTATTTATAAAAGGAATACCTACAAGATCAGATTAAAAAATCATGCACTGGAAAAGAGAATTTATAGGTAAAAATCAATCATGCCTGCCACCCTCACCCTTTTAACATCTAACCCCCAACATCCACGGCCCCATTATTATGTATCCTTTAATGACTTCAACTTTGAGATGAACTCATTCCATATTCTACTGCCCTAGAGAACAGAAAGCTTCCTATGAAGAGACAGTATGGATAAATTTAAAGTGGAATCAATAGTTATTTGTTTCTGCAATTCTCCCAAAGAACAACAGCATAAATACTGATAAAAATTAGTTATTACACTTAATAAATTCCTTCAAAACTTATATCTATTATCCCAATATAGGAAGTCAGTTTATCTAATTACCTTGAACAAAGAGCTACATCATCCTGTTGTATTGATCAGAATGATTTGTTATTCAGAAATCACACATCTCATTAGACATTAGTAAACATTATTAAACATTGTGTGTGGATTAGTAACATCTGCTTCTTAAATTTCCAAGTCAAAATTATTAATATATTTTAATATGATGTTGAACTTTGATGCTTGGGTCGATTTATTCTTTACCTAGAATGCTGATCTACTTGGAGAAAAAGAGATCTCAGTCCTACCAACAGGTTCTCTTGAAGAAACACCTTCAACACTAACCACATACAAATTTTTCCAGGTAGGTATTTTGGTAAGAAAAGCACCTACCATCTGCTGATTAGATTTGTAAGGATACAGATTTACGTTTAATCAATAGCAACCTCCCCCCACCAAGAATACAATCTCAAAATGCCTATTAACCAAGTTTTATCTAACTCCCAGTAATACCTTTGGAGAATTTTTTAATTACAAGCAGTACTCCATTTTTCTGTATAGTTTAAAGTTTATACTTTCAAAAAGTCAAGTCATCAGAAAGCAAGGTACTTATACCATTTTACCTAAACTAGGAGTATCACTACTGTGACTGGAAAGTATATTTGTATTTTTTCATGAGGGTTAAGATACCAGGTCCTTAAGAGGCCCTATATACAATTTTGGGGAAAGTAGGGGGAAAGAGAAGGGGAGAGAGGTATGGTTTTAAAAGAAAGATCCTCATGAAACTAACTCATTTGTTATTTATAAGAATACTGTTCAACATCACATTTCTCTTTTATAAAGATACACAGGTAAAATTTCTTATGAAACTCAGCCTTAGCTAATCAGAGAAAACACTCTTTTCAGCTCACAAAGTTTTATGAAAATGTTTGCACATCACTTTGGCCACCAGAAAGTCCCACATCTATACATTAACTTTAATTTTAAATTCTAGTTTATGTTTATCTTACATGTCATGTCTTGCTTTTATATATACATATTTGTCATATGTCACATCAAATCTTTGGGATATAAAAAAGTAAATAAACTTTTTCTCTCTGAACTCAGAGACATTATAATTAGCCATCCCAATTACAAATGTATCCAAAGATATAATATAGCTCCTAAAATTAAACTATAATGTGGTTGGAACTAAAGAATCATATACTTATTTCAAAACAATGCAAAGTTAATAATTTAATATAAATTTTTATTCATTTTTCATACTTGAGCTAAATTTGCAAAGGCCATTTAAAAGTAAGGATTTGGGATATAGAATGTTAAGTGTCATATAATTACCCAGCATGTTTTAACAGATTAAAATATTTCCCTGTCTTTGTACTGTCAAATAAATATGGAATTCCTCGTGGAGAGGTTTATCGTCAAACCAAATGCTTTATACTCAGTGTGAAAATTCAATCACAATTGTCAAAGATCAAGCTGCTACTTCTGATAACAAACATGATGAGATATCATCTTGTTCAATATATGCTTTCAACTTGACATGTAGGCTAATAAAAAATATGAAGTTGTAGTATTTATTTTGTTTCTTGCACAACAGAAGGCTCCTATGAGGGATGATCAAAATACCCAGTCTCATTGCATAAAAATGCAGTCAACTCTTTATCTGGAGACAGATTAACTGGTTTGAAGACTAACTTCAGTAAAAGAATAACAGCATGCATTGCATTCACAAAAGATTTTAAAATTACTATGCATCAGTGATTGTATCTCAACGAAAGAATGTCTATTTATTCAACTACAAAATAAACATAAGACACTACATTGTGTCTTATCGCAACAAGTTTCTCTCACTTAACAGCTATTTATTGAGTATTTACTATGTACCAAGCTCTGTATTAGGCTATTCCACGTTATTAATCTGAACTAGTCTCCTGTCAACAGCTCTCCTTAGGGGAAGGCATGCAGCCAACTTCTTGTGAGTCAACTATACTTCTGAGATGCAAAACTTAAAAAGGAACAAAGATACTTTTGCACTAGGAAACAAACCCCAGTAGGTTTGTAGGTGTGGACTTAACTTCTCCCCTATCTTGCTCCTCATCCTGTTTTTTTTTTTTTACTTTGCCTCCCTTCTCAGGGAAAGCCTGAACCTGGCAGTCTTGTTTGCCTCCTTCTCCTTCAGCCTCCAAGTTCACAACCACCATGACCTGAAAAATTCCCTAGATGTTTTCAAATGTGTACACTTCCCTCCATCCCCTTTACCATTCTATCTCAAACCCCTTTACCATTATCTTAGCTCAGAACTCCCATCATCTGAAACCATCACCATGATAGTTACACAGCAGACACTCAAATATTTGCTAAATAATTGAATAAAGCAGCTTCAATCACATGCCCTTTAAGATACTGAAGTAAACAAGAGGAGAGAAATAACAACAACTGCAAAAACCACACTGATCTCATTCCCTTTTGAGTAGCCACTTCAGACATGTCAGTAGCAAAATCTCCCTCAGCTGGCTAAGCTAGACACCTGGGAGTTATCTTTGATCTCTCTCTCTCCTCCACCTCCCACACTATCGTCCCTATCCACCTTCTTCATTCCATTTCCTCAGTCACACACTAAGTGTCAGCCAATCACCGAATAGCTCCCCACTATAACCCTCTAACCCAGCACTGTCCAGTGGAACTTTCTGCGATGATGGAAATGTGCCATATCTATGCTGTCAACAGGCATGGACACTGAGCACTTGAAATGTGGCAAGTGTGACTGAGGAACTGCATTTTTAATTTTATCTAAATTTTAACTAATTTTAATTTAAATAGCCACATATGTTTAAGGGCAATAGTACTTGATAGTGCAGCTTAACCTTCTTCCATACTATTGATAGAAATATCTTCCTACAAAACATCTGATCACATTACTTGCCTTATAGAACTAACATGTCTCCATAAAATCTCCATCACTAGGCATGATAATCAAAGTTCTTCATGACCTAGACCAATTCACCACCTCAGTCCCATTAGCCCCACTTCTTTCCCATCTAGTCTCCAAAGAGATTGGACCACTCAAGTGTACTCACACATGCCACGCTATAACCCCTTATGCAAACTGCTGACTCTCACTTAGGATGCCTCTTCCTCTCACAGAACATCTACTCATCCTTCAAGATCCACCTCAAATTCTTGTTCCTCTCTGAAAACTTAACTGCCCTCTTGTAGCTGAGCTAGCCTTTCTGTCTTAACTCTGTTGCCAGACTTTGTGTATATAGTTTCATTAAAGCACTTAATCATAATGAATGGCTTACATGTGTAATGAGTCCCATGTATGCCAGGTAAATATTAATCACATACATTAAAAAGATAATTTAGCAAAGCATCTGACACAGGATTTCACCCTGAGTAAGCATGCAATAGATGTGCAAAGTCCTCAAGATATGTTTTAGGAATTGAATCAGCTAGGCTAGGGATCTTAACCAAATAGAGCAGGCTGAGAAAACAAGGGAGGAAAACAGAAGGATGGAGATGACACAGTGGAAAAGCTCACACGATACCACTAAGAGGCTTAGGTGGGGGAAAATATATAAGAAAATTAATGAAAGCCCCCAGAGAATAACTATTCAGTAAACTCATAGCTAAAGCTGAACTCGTTTCTCACCTTCCATCCCTAACTGGCAATAGTAATAATCAAATTCCTTAATCAGAGAGTGTGGCTGTTACAAGGTCAAGAACAAGAGAAAGCTGTTCTTGTGATGTACAACTGAGAAGAATTTGTTGTAAGCAGATCAATAGCACTATTACCACGGCCCACTCCTCAGGAAAGAGCTTTGTTATATAAAACATTGAACATATTTTCTGTAAGGAAAATCAACCTGTGGAAGACCAAGGAGAAGAAAATCTCTAAACTTACCTCTTTTTCATACCCTCTAAAATTACGTTTAGATAGAAACATTTCAAAAATCAATGACATCAATGTATGTTTATTCCTAATATAATCATTTCCTTTTATACAAAGTCTGCTTACAAAAACAATGCAGAGAAATCTTTAAATAGTTAAAGTTAAAAATTTTAATGGCATGCCTTAAGCAATACTCAATATATATACCACTCTATGCAGGTATCTGAACTGAATAAATATTAACTTTAAATAATATTTTGATGTTCTATTTCATTGGTTTGAGTAAGCATAGGTTTACAATATAATTTTGTTATTAAACAAAATCCTTTGGTTGGATTTGCAGATCAGAGAAAATTAATATTTGGATTTAGTTCAGAGGTTGAGTAAATTAGCTCAGTTCACTCTGGGTTTGAGTTCATGGTTCAGTTCAAGTTCCTGATAATGAGCACATCAAAATAAAAATATTTAAATAATGTAATCAGGGCTGACATTTAAGAGTAAGTGTTCAGGCAAATATGTGTTTTTAAAAAACAAACTCACTTTACAGAGAGAGCTAAGGTTAAATCCGAAGGTTTGAGCATTCCGGGAGCCAGCATTCATGTAGTTTCCCATTAGCAATACAAGTTCCAGCAACTTGCTAAAGCTTTTGCTCTTCTTTATCTCTTCGCAGGCAGTACTGACAGCCATGATGTCAGGTTTGATGTTGTTCACCTGCTCTTCAAACTGAAGCTTAAAGAGAATAGCACTGAGCCGTGGCCGTAGTCTCTTCACATTGCTCATCTGATTGAAAAGAAAACAGCAGATTTCCTCTAAAATGCATGGTATACTTTAGTACTGTACGGCTGCAAGTAATCTGGGATGATTTATTGGTATGACAGTACCAAGGAAGCAATATGTCTCCTAAAACTGATAGCAGGAAGAGAGAAAAGCCCTGCTTATTTTTGTAAGGAATCCAGAGTCATCTCTTAAAACCAAAATTAACAATTTAGATGCTCAATGAAAAGAAAGCTTTAATTAAATGATACAATTTAATTAAGTAATAAACAGTTTTTAAAGACCAAATTTTAGAAAGGTAACAGGGCACACAAGTAACAAATTACAAAGCATTCATATCATTACTCTGAATAATTTTTATTCCACACTGCAATATACTGGGTCATGTTTAAAACATGTTCAGAAAGGTCTAAAGAGGGTTTGTTTTCCTCAAATAGCAACTGCTGGCCTCCAAAGCCCTGCTGACTAACAGTATGTGCTAGATAGAGGGAGAGTAAATAGGTCCCAATTTGTACTAAATTGACTTTCTTCGGAAACACAGGAAAGTAGAATGACTCCCGACACATACTAACTTAGCAGAATCAGAGGTAGGAAGCATGGGAGTAGCAGACGACAGAAGCAGCACAAAGCCACAAATCTAACATATGCCAAGTTAACCCTATTTGGGACTCTGGGTTTGTCTCCTGGCAATGTGGGGGGTTAGAGGTGTCAAAAAGAACAAAGTGGTAAGTTCTTGCCTTTATGCTCACTCCCTGTGTCATATTCAACACATGTTATGTACCTGTAGACATAACTGCATTTAAGCCAGATATGAATTCCTCGCCTTAGGGATTTGAGACTTAAAACAAACTGAAGGGGCAGTAATAGTAAAACTGCTGATTCAACAACTATTGTAAATATCAAAAGCAGTTTGAGGCAAGGTCAGAAAAGAAAATAGTGACAGAACACAAAAGGGTTAAAAGAGGGACCAGTTCTCTTAGCTGTAGACCCTGAAGGAAAGGCTAAAAAAACACCACTATATAAAGCTTGTAGGATGCCAAATACAGTGGAAATCATAATTGTTTAGGACACAGAAATCTATCTGCTCATAATATAATATTGTTATTTAAAATATACTACACAAAAGCTTATTTAGACTTCAACATGATATTTACAGACACTGTCTTAGTGACTTAATATAACTCATCTTACTCATCTAACAAAACTAAGCAGTAAAGAATTAGCTCTTGGTACACTCTTCTGAGAGAGTATTTTCAGATGGACAAAATCCTTACAGTGACTGAAAAGCTCCATCATCAAATAATATAAATAACTAATTTAAATCTAACATTTTCCCTAGCCACTCGACATGTTAAATGTTTATCTGTAATCAAGATTCTAAGAGTTCAAGTAATGTAGTTAAACAAGAAGTCTGCTCTACAAAGTACTTTAAGGAATGTCTTCAGATTTCCCTGTCTAGGGAAAATAAATTTTTTTCTACTAAATGAAAGTAAAAAAACTGTAAGCTCAACAACATATTTTGAAAAAGAAAGAAAAGAACCAGTTGTGGTGGCTCATGCCTGCAATGTCAGCAGTTTGGGAGGCTGAGGTGAGAGGAATACCTGACGCCACAAATTCTAGACCAGCCTGGGCAACACAGTGAGACCACATCTCTACAAAAAATAAAATTTAAGTGGGCGTGGAGACTTGTGCCTGTAGTCTGAGCTGCTCAAGAGGTTGAGGTGGGAGGATCCCTTGAGTCCAGGCTGCAGTGCACAGCACTGCATTCCAGCCTGGGCAACAGAGCAAGACCCTGTCTAAAGGAAAGGAAAAAGGAAAGGAGAGCAGAGAGGAGGAGGAGGGGAGGAAAGAGCTGGGGAAAGGGGAGGAGGGGAGAGGAGAGGAGGGGAAGTGAGGGAAGGGTAGGGAAGGGGAGGGGAAGGGAGGAGAGGGGAGGGAAGGGGAGGAGAGGAGAGGAGAAGAGAGGGGAAGGGAGGGGAGGGGAGGGGAGGGGAGGAGAGGACCATTACTAAAGGTTTTATAGAGTAAGTCTAAGCAATATAAAATTGTAGAAAAACAAAGGGAGGCCTTTTAGAATATCACATCTTTATAGGCATGAATCATTCTTTTTAAACACTGTATCTCTAGTACACAAAGTAGGGTTAAGCAGAAATTACTTTTCATAAAGACATTTGTCTTAAAATGTAGTGTATGCTCCCAAATGTACTCACTTCCCTGGACTTCTTTATTCTTAAACATTGTAAATGACAGATATCCATATTACATTGGTAAAAATAATAATGCTCTATTACACTTAATATATCCTTTAGAATAGTGACACGAACAAAAGAGCACTCACTTTGTAATATATATAGCTATGGCCATTCGAAAGGTGTATAACGGGCTCACAACATCTCTGTTCTCAGTAGGTGCCCCTATTCATGATTATGAAGTCACGTATTAGGCACTTTGCAATAAACATGAGAAGAAATTCTCCAGTATTCCATGTAAAACATTAGTATTACAAAATGTATTAATTCTAACATATATTAATGTACTACTTTCATGCACAAAGAGAGAGAAAAAAAGCCTGCTTAAATGCCTACATTTTACCACCCCAAAATATGTTAAAGCTTTCCTGCTGACAAGCTAACCATATGTAGCCAGCATAAAGTAATTAATTTTCCTAGAAAAATATAACCTAGATTTGTATGAATAATGAGTCTATCTGGCACTAGGGACAGGTACCTTGAAAAGATAGAGTAAGTCTATGATGTAATGCAGAACAAAGTGCTACAAGTTCATGAAAAACCCTGACAAAGCAAAGTTAGGAAAGGTAACCTAAAGCAGAGCTTTGAATGTAACTTTTTTTAATAGATGTCCTTTACATATTGTTCTTTCTTCCAAATTTAGATTAATTAGTATTCTGACAATTATTAAATAAATGTATTTTAATAAACAAAATTATAAAGCTGGAATGGACCTTTAGAGGTCACCTGGATATAGTTCCTATCTTTAGTTCACTATTTAGCTGTACAATGATCCCCTAAGTAAATAGTTGTCCTTTTTAATTAAGAAATAAAATTTCATTTAAGGTTAATGTTCCCAGATCTAGATCTTGGTATCTATTATAATAATAGGAGGACTTTTTTTCATTATTTAAATCAGTTTGTTTCTTCAGATGGAATCAAATAAAAAAGGTGAAAAGGTAGGAACATATATACGTATATATATGAACATATATATAAAATATACATTTAATATATATAAAACTTCATGTATTTTTTAAAACTGAACAACATTTCCTCATCCTCATCACTTTCCACATTTTATCAACATTGGGAATTTGCATTCTGGTCTCCTGATAAGGGTACTAGAACTCTGACTTGTCTGCCAAAGACTAAGCCAAATGTAGAAATGAAGAGCTGTGGTGATCAAAATATATATACATATATATACATATATATTTTTTTTTGAGACAGAGTCTGGCTCTGCTGCCCGGGCTAGAATGCCCTGGCGTCAGCCTAGCTCACAGCATCCTCAAACTCCTGGGCTCAAGCAATCCTTCTGCCTCAGCCTCCCAAGTAGGTGGGACTTCAGGCATTCGCCACCATGTCTGGCTCATTTTTTCTATATATTTTTAGTTGTCCGATTAATTTCTTTCTATTTTTTAGTAGAGATGGGGTCTCGCTCTTGCTCAGGCTGGTCTTGAACTCCTGACCTCGAGTGATCCTCCCGCCTCGGCCTCCCAGAGTGCTAGGCTTACAGGCATGAGCCACCGCACCTGGCCTCAAATAATATTTTGAATGGCAACAGAAAGTCATGTTTTTCAAGTATAATTTTTTAAGAGATGGGGTCTTGCTCTGTTGCCCAGGCTGGAGTACAGTGGCATAATCATGCTCACTGTAACCACAAACTCCTGGGCTCAAGTGATCCTTCCACCTTGGCCTCCCAAAGTGCTGGAATTACAGACGTGAGCCACTATGCCTAGTGGTAATTTTAATTTTATCCACTAATTTATGGGGGAAAAAATAGAATCGCTATGACTTTTTTGTATGACAACTATGTTTAACACCATATAGTTCTCTTTGCACAGTTTCTTTCATAAATAGGAGGTTGTCAGAAGTGAACTTATTCAAAATTTGTTGAGTTTTTTTCCCCTACCCTACTATACACACTTATGTAGGGTCACCTCAAAAGAAATTTTAGTAAATGTTCCATATCATTCTTATTCCTCACTAAAACCACTATAAAAGTAACCATTCATTTAACTTACTTTCTAACAGTATGATAACCTACTGATTGATAAGTTACTGGCTTCAGTCTTAATTGACTTTATACTCTGAAAGCTGTAGTTCACATAAATACCTAATTATAAGGAATAAAGGAACAGCATCTCAGGAAGATTAAAGTACTCCTTTAAGTCACATGGCTAGTAGAACCCGGGCCTAGAGCTAACTTGCTGCTAACCAAGTGTCCTTACCACTCGGAGCATCACAATGGGGAAATTAATAACCACAATTTAAAAACTATCTCGAATTAAAACTTTTTCTACTGTTTTCTTACAAGTAAGAATTAATTTTAATTTCCCCACAGTAGTTATTAGGTAACACACTATGGAGAATGACTCTGCTATGAGCTCTGCCTGCTACCTGTACTTTCTAAAATATTTCTTTCTTCTCTCCTTAGTATAACCAACTACTTCCTATTGTGCTGAATTTTAATACTTTTCCAGATCTACTTTTGTTGTTCCTCCACACTGCACTCTCCATTCGTACTTCCCTATTAGCTAATTCTTCAGTTCTCAGTGAGAGAAGTATGATAAGCAAGAAGAATGCGAAAATGCAAATGCATCTTTGTGAAAGACAAGAGAAAGTACTTTGAGAAAGTTGTGTGATTTAACACATTGACTGCCATACGAGAAAAAATTTTTTTTTTTCCCCTGGAGCCATGGTGTTTTATTACAAAAATAGAATAAAAACCTCGAAAACAAAACAATCTTTTCTAATTTAATGAAAAATCTGTTA